GTTATGGGGAATAACTAGTTCAACTGATTGACAAAGGTTTCGAATAAAAAGCTAACAATAATAAATATGATAGTGGAAATGTATCAGATAATCGCATGTGGTTGTTAAGTCTGATGTTTTCTTCTTAGTGCAGTTAGTTCACATGCTTGCAGTTGTTAATTCATTAATAATTATAATTTATATAAAGCAGAAGGTAATTGCCTCTGTCACCTCTGTGGTATTTATTAATGGAAGAACCTATTATAAATCATTTTTAGGGAGGCAATCAACTGAAGAAATAGCTGAAGAAAACAATTTGATTCCTCAAGTGTGAAATTTAGAGAGAGGAAAGGAAGTTAACTGGGTAGTTCCTATATACTAGAGAGGTGCTGTGCATTTTTCATACTCTACATTATTGTATCAAGAGCAAAGGTGTCAGTGTGAGAACTAAGGAACGTCTGACCCAAGCTTTTCAGTAGCCTCATATGCATGTGAAATTTGGACAATGAATAAGAAAGAACATAGAAGAATTGATACATTTGAGTTATGATTTAGAAGAAGAATATTAAAAGTACCACTGACTGCCAGAAGCACAAACAAGTTTTTCTTGGAAGAAATACAACCAGAATATTCCTTAGAAGCCAGGATGGTGAAAAGTTTTGTCTCTTGTATTTCAGACATATTGTCAATTATCATGAGGGACCAGTCCCTGGAAAATATAATCATGCTTGATAAAGTGGAGGGTTAGCCAAAAAGAGTAAGACATCTAAAGAAGCTAGATTGGCACAGTGGCAGCAGCAATGGTCTCAAGCATAACATCAGTTATGGGCATGGCGTGGGACCAGTCAGTGTTTTGTCCTGTTGTGCACACAATCCTATAAATTGGGACCGTCTCAATGGCACCTAGCAACAACAACAGTAAGCCTCAAGACTAAAATGCTTTAAAAACCTAAAAGAATTTTTTGTATCTTGTCATCAAGCTCTGAGCTAAACTTTTATTAGTTGATTTGCTTCTCCCAATTAGGGTGAATGTTCTTATGTTTTGCAGCAGAAGTATTAATTATCTTTGATTATAAGGTAATCTCATGTCATATATCATGTATTAGATAAATGTACAGCATGGAAGATGACTTGAAACATTTGCTTATGAAGATCAAAGAGCACAGCCTTCGATATGGATTACATCTCAATGCCAAGTAAACAAAAATCCTCACCACTGGACCAATAAACAACATTCTTATCAATGGAGAAAAGACTGAAGTTGTCAAGGACTTCATTCTTCTTGGACCAACTATCAACACTCGCAGAAGCAGCAGTCAAGAGATCAGACGACATATTGCACTGGGCAAATCTGCTGCACAGGAACTTTTTAAAGTGTTGAAGAGCAGAGATGTCAGCTTGAGGACTAAGGTGCGCCTGACCCAGGCTATGGTGTTTTCAATAGCCTCATATGGATGCGAAAGCTGGACAGTGAATAAGGAAGATCGTAGAAGAATTGATGCCTTTGAGTTGTGGTGTTGGAGGAGAATACTGAAAGTGCCATGGACTGCCAAAAAAACCAATAGATCTATTTTGGAAGAAGTGCAGCCAGAGTGCTTCTTGGAGGCCAAGATGGCTAAGCTTCGTCTCTCATACTTTGGACATATTGTCCAGAGGAAACAGTCGCTGGAGAAGGATGTCATGCTGGGTAAGGTGGAGGGTCAGAGAAAAAGAGGAAGACCCCTAACGAGATGGATTGGCCAGGTGGCATCATTGATGGCCTCAAGTGTGGCAGCGGTAGTGAGGTTGGCCCAGGATCAGACATTGTTTCGTTCTACTGTGCATGGGGTTGCTATGAGTCGGTTCCGACTCGATGGCGCCTGACAACAACAACAACAACACAGCATGGAAAACTCAGTTGCCATCAAGTCTCTTCCTTCTCATGGTGACGCCATGTGTGTCAGAATAGAACTGTATTCTGTTTGTTTTCCGTAACTGATTTTCAGAAGTAGGTTGCCAAGTCTTCACATCTCTGGGTAGACACAAATTGCCAGCCTTTCAGTTAGCAATTTACATGCATTGATCATTTGTACCATGTAGGGCCTTCTGTGTACAACATAACTTTGTAAAATCAGAAACATTCTGAATTTTGAAGCACAAAGTTACACTGTAAATTTGTGATGGGCTTGAGTTTTTATCCCATCTCAGGCCTTTCTAGTTTCAAAGATCATTTCTGCCCTACTGTGTGAATTACAAGGTCAGCAGTTCAAGCCCACCAACAGCTCCAAGGGAGAACAATGAGGTTTCTGCTGCCTCAAAGATTTAAAAGCCTCACAAATCCTAAACATGTTTGCTATGAGTCAGAATTGACTCATTAGTAACAACAACAACAACAACAGTAATACCATTGTAATGAAACCCTGATGGCACAGTAGGTGAAGCATTAGACCACTAACCCACCCACTGCTCTGCAGGAGAAAGCTGAGGCAGTCTGCTTCTGTAAAGATTTATAGCCTCCGAAACCCCATGGAGCAGTTCTACTCTGTGCTGCAAGGTCACTGTGAGTCTTAATATACTATATTCCATTCTGCATGATTTTGTAGAACAAAGAGTCATTGTATGTTTTTAGAACTTGTTTTAGTTATATATATGAAACAAATTCAATGGGAAACATACACTTGGAAGAAACATGTATGTTTGGGTGGTAAGTTTTACTCGTTAGTAGAAATAACAATGATGCTTCTTTAGACTTCTCTGTCAAGGTAATTTTTGTTCTTACTTGTAGCTCATAGAACTTATTCAATCAGGTAGGTTCAAGAAATGCTAGTGAACATCTTGTGTATCTGTGCTGTAATGCAACTCCTTTTAAAAGAAATCAGCTGGAATTTATGCATCCAGATGAAGATTCTCCTTTTTAAAGATAATTTCTGGAATCTGCACATTTATTCTAATGATAAATGTTCCTTGTTCTTTTTGGTTGTTTTGTTTTAGAATTTCTCTAATGGACTAAGTAATAATCTTTTGTATATGTACTAGCATATTATCATCCTTTGAGGATGTTTCGATCTTTGGAAACAGACAAATGTACATTAAGTAAAGGTAAAAATTAAGGAGCACTGGTAGTGTAGTGGGTCACACATTGGGCTGCCAACTGCAAGGTCAACAGTTTGAATCCACCAGCTGCTTCTCTGGAAAGATGAGGTTTTCTGCTCCCTTACACCCTCGGAAACCCTGTACAGGGTCGCTATGGGTCGGAACCGACTCGACGGCACGTAACAACAACAACAACAATGATTTACATGCTCAGAAACCCTATACAGGGTCTCCCTATGAGTTGAAACTAACACAACAACATACATCCACCACCATACCACCACTAGAAATTAAGTAAGTCAATACTATGATTTTTTTTTTTTTTTTTTTAAATGTGATTGGAGGATATTCAGTAATGGGGTTGAATTTCCCAGGTGGGTCTTTGGCTAGTACCAACCACAGCTCTCTCTAAGAGGACTCCTGAAGGATTCCTTTGAAGATAGTATGCATTCTGAAGAATAGGTTACATTATGCCATTATACATGTTTCAAAATTGGTTCTTTTTTAACTGAACTATTTATTGTGATTTGATTGAAGGCTTACAAAGGAAATTGGTTTTATACTCAGCAGTCCATACACATTTAGCTTCATGGTATTGATTGCAATTCTCAAGATGTAATAGCACTTTCTCCATTTCCTTCCTATGTTTATAGTCCCTATTCATCTTTCTTTCCTATCTCCTCCTGTCTTGTGATGTTTATCCTGGTGCAAATGCTGCCTTTTTGATATGGTAATGTTGATTGCCCTAAGGAATGTGGATCTCCTGCTTACTGTTCACCCAGTTGGTCTGTTGTTTGCTGTTAGCTGAGTCATGGGGGTCAGGTCAGTTCTAGTTATTCTATTCTGTCACACAGGTGGTCACCAAGATTCAGAATTGACTAGATGGCAAGGGATTTGATATTTTGGTTAAGACACAATTAGGAAGAGAAATCTCCTGGAAAATAATTGTGTGGTGCATACCAAAGTCAAATACTATTTACTTTGGAATGTTCCCAAACTGTTCTCCTTCCTTAGTGTAATGCAATGCATCATGGTCTGTGTCCCTTAAAAATGAAGGATTTATGAGATGATTATATATGACTCTCTGATATTTGTTCAGTAAGAACCTAAATGAATAGAATAGCTTCTTAAACTACATATAAACACAAGTTTTATTGTCAGTGTACTCATTTTTAGTGTGCTTTTTAAAAATTTAAATTAAAGGTATGACATTGACAGATTACTACTTATGGAATAATTTTTGTGGAAAAACATTGCTAATAGCTGGAGATCTTTGAAGACATCATTTAAGCAAAATAAAAAGGCTGTTTTGTAATGTGGAATATGTTGAACAGAAGTGTTCTTGAAAAAAGCAAAACAATTTTTTCATTATTGTAATAATCAAAAGTAGTATCCTAAACCTGCATTCATAAATCTATTTTGTTGTTCTTATCATTAGTACTGGTATGATCATCTTTTGTATTAGCTATTTTTGATTTACATAAAATTTTTTCGTACTGTGCCAGTCTTTAAAACCAGTAAGTTCACTATAAGAAACCATTCTTATTGATATTTTTGTATTTAAATGTTACAGCTGCCTTAGAAAAATTTCCTTGGAGTCCTGGTGTTGCGCTGTGTTATAAACACTGCATTGTTGATAACAAGGCTGGTAGTTCAAACATCCAGCCACTTCTTAGAAACCTTATACAGGGTCGCTATGAGTTGGAACTGACTTGGCAACAACAACAAAGTAATATATAGCATACTTTGTCTGGGTTATGCTATTACTATTTGTCATAGATCCATGTGATTTTTATGTTGATGATGCCTAATAGACTTACATAAACAAGTTTTTTTGGAGCTAATATCTTTTGAAATCATATAGGACTAAAAATACAGCATTTAGTAATGATGAATGTAAGATAAATCCACAAGCAAACAATGCAATTTTCTTTTTTTTCTGTGTATAGTTCTCTTACAACTAGCCAGTGATGCTTTACCAAATGACATGACCTTGGCTCTCGCTTATCTTCTTGCTTTACCACAGGTAAGTTTAACTTTACCAAGAAATAAAATCAAAGATTTATGTTGTACAGATTTTCATCACTGAAATTGTTCATAATATGTTTTAATTCCTTCTGATAGTTTTTAGGTGCTGATAGGTCCCTGGTTCATATTCAGGAAGTGAATCCTAGTTTTGGCTATAATGCCCATCTTTAACACTATTTTTCATGAAAATGATCTGTCTTTATAATTATTCCAAATTCTAATATAGTCACATTAAGTTGAGCTTAACTTGATATTTGGATATGATAGAAATATTGAATCAAAATTGTATAGTCATGACTAGAAATGTAATGCTTTATTATGAGCTTATTAATTTCCTTTCAGCTGAGTTAATTCTGCCATGTTTCCTCCTAGGTGTTAGATGCCAACAAGTGCTTTGAAAAGCAGTCCCATTCTGCTTTATCTCTCCAGCTGGCAGCCTATTACTATAGCCTACAGATCTATGCCCGTTTGGCACCATGTTTTAGGGACAAGTGCCATCCTCTCTACAGGGTGAGTCCTCCTTGTTTCTGCTTTATTTATGAGCAGAATTAATGTTTTTCTAAAATAGTCCAAACACATGCCTATCTCTTTGAAGGGACTGATTTGCTTGGTGAAGGTGGTCCCTGTATTAAGAATGAGTTCCATTCCTTTCCTAAATGAGTCTTTAGATTGAATTTGTACATAAAGCAAGGAAGTTCAACTAAGTATAATTTCATAACTTCTCAGTTAGTTAAATTTTGTCTTAGTATATAATGTACCTTTCTGTGAATACAAAAATGTGAAACACATCTAAATACACTAAAACATATTTATTATAATAGTTCACTAATAATTTAACATTTTATTGTGCTTTAGGTTTACAGAACAAATCAAGCCTCTATGTAATAATTCATATGTAATTTTTCCATGACATTGGTTGCAATCCCCAACAATGTGTCAGTACTCCTCCATTTCTGCCCTGGGTTCCTTGGTTCCATTCATCAGGTTTTCTTGCTCCTCTGTGCCTTCTTATCTTGCCTTTAGACAAATGTTGCTCTTTTGGTTTCGTATAGACATTTGTTCTAAGGAGCACATTCCTTATGGTGTTATTTATTCTATAGACAATCTTTAATTTGATTGAGAGGTGGCCTCTGGGAGTGGCTTCAGTTATAAGTTATAAATGTGGCCTAGGGCTGTAGTCTCAGAGGTTTCTCCAGTCTTTACCAGATCAGTAAGTTTAGGGTAGTTTTGTTTGTTTGTTTGTTTTCTATTTTATTTATTTTGAATTTCATTCAAAATTATTTAATTTGAATATTGTTCTACATTTTTTCACTCATTCTGACTGTGGTCATCTATGACATTCCTGGAAAGAGTGATCGATAGTAGTAACTGGGCACTCTCTAATCCTTCTGGTCTGAGAATAGAAGAGGCTTTGGTTTATGTGGACGACTGGTCCTTTGTACTAATTGCTTCCTTGAGTCTTCATTTTTTATTTGTTTGTTTGTTTTTTTCACTCTTTGCTGCAGGTAGGATGAGACCAATCATGGTATCTTTAATAGATGCTTGTAAGCTTCAATAATCCCACTCACTACTCACCAAATTAGGATGTAGAGCATTGTTTGTATACCAATTGATCTAAATACACCCTGAGATTTTTGTCCTTAGTCTTCAAACTCAGTAGCTGAGTCCCATCACAGTTGGGTTATGTATGTGAACTTTCCGTAACTGTGGTCCCTATGTACCCTATGAATTTGGAAACCCTATACAGGGTCACTATGGGTAGGAATTGACTTGATGACACTTAACAACAACAACAACAATATATGAATTTATATGCATTAAATGTGAGGGGGCTTCACAAAATTTCTGAAACACGGAATTAAAATAGGATTTTCCCTTGAATTTTTTGAAGCTTACTAGTATGTATGTGGACTCTTGGTGTAGCTTTGTAGGATCAGTACTGTACTTTGAATCACAAGTCAGTCATTTAAACTCACCATCTGCTCCTTGGAAATCCTATATTGGGTTACTATGAGTTGAAACCAACCTGATGGCACTTAACAACAAGTATGCATGTAGAAATATCCATAACTATGAACTGTAGGATAAGCACTGGACTATTAACCAAAAGGTTGGCATTTCAAACCCACCAGCTGCTCCTCAGAAACCTATACAGAGTTGCTATGAGTCAGAACTGACTCAACAGCATTTAACAACAGTGCCTATATATACATGCAGCTGTATTTAGCATAGCCATCTTTCTATGTACCTAACTAAAAAATTATTGTTTGTTACTGTTGTTGAATTTTATATTTTGCAGTACTTACTATGTTGCTGTTGTTCAGTGCTGTCGAGGTGGTTCTAACCCATAGCAACCCTGTATAGGGTTTCCAAGGAGTGGCTAGTGAGCTTGAACCGCTGACTTTACGGTTCAAGTGAACTTTGCAGTCCAGCGTATTAATCCATAGCACTACCCCAGTGCTCCAGTATTTACTTTTTTAAAAAGTACCATCAAGTCAGTTCTGACTCACAGCAACCCAGCATAGGGTTTCCAAGGAGCAGCTGGTGAGCTTGAACCGATGACCTTGCAGTTTCAAACAGCTTTGCAGTCTGGTGCATTAACTGCCCTTTATTCTCATGTATGTTTCAGCATCTTCTTTTGCCTTGGTTACGTTGCCCTGAATCTCTCCATATTTTATATTGCATCTTCTGTCTAGTTAGTGATTCTCCTTTCTTTTTCCTTCCATCCTTGGTAACCATCTAAGAATGTTTGTTTATATATTTAAACCTATGGATATGTCAGAAAGATGTTTACCTGTGCTTTGCTGACTATGCAAACACTTTCGATTGTGTGGATCATGACAAGCTATGGACAACATTGCGAAGTATGAATATTCCAGAACACTTAATTGTCCCCATGAGGAATCTATACATGGACCAAAAGGCAGTTGTTCAGACAGAACATGGGAACACTAAATGGTTTAAAATTAAGAAAGGTGTACGACTAGGTTGTATTCTTACACCATACTTATTCAGCCTGTATGCTGAGCAAATAGTCTGAGAAGCTGGGTTATATGAAGAAAAATGTGGCATCGGGATTGGAGGAAGACTCATTAACAACCTACGATATGCAGATGATCCAACCTT